TGCCGGTGAGAACACTGAAATTATCCAGTATGGGCAGACAAAATCCATTTTTATTCGTCACATTGTTTTTACTTACGATTTCTTCCTCAAATTATCCAGGATGGGCAGACAAAATCCATGGTCTAACTGTTCCGGCTGATGGACCTTATCACGTGCAAACGCTGCACGAGCCAATCGGTGTTGCAGGACAGATTATTCCGTGGAACTTTCCTTTACTCATGTTTGCCTGGAAAGTTGGGCCTGCACTGGCTTGTGGTAATACTATTGTCCTAAAGAGCGCTGAGCAGACGCCTCTGACTGCCCTCTATGTGGCAAAGCTATTCCAAGAGGTAGGCCTGTGACGCCTGTCGAGCTGCTCACTCTCCCTCACGCGTAAACATCTATGTGCCAAGCGAAATATGTAAAAATTAATCTATAGTGTAATTAACTTTTTATTCTGCATCAACATGAAGCGTGTACATTCTTTATTTCTTTTCCGTCGTTGTTCATGTTCTAATATTACTCAGCTTCATCTGTGACAGGCTGGTCTTCCTCCGGGTGTTCTAAACGTAGTTTCTGGAGATGGGCCAACTGCTGGTGCTGCTCTTGCCAGTCATATGGAGGTGGACAAGGTATTTGGAGCACATTTGTCCTTCTTTTTCCCTGTACACTGGATATGCAGGCTACGTAAAACCATTACCGCGTTCCTTTTCAGGTAGCTTTCACCGGATCAACTGATACTGGAAAGATTATTCTTGAATTGGCTGCAAGAAGCAATCTTAAGCCAGTAACATTAGAGCTCGGCGGGAAATCACCTTTCATTATATGTGAGGACGCTGACATTAATCATGCTGTGGAGCTTGCACACTTTGCTCTCTTCTTTAACCAGGTTGGTTCAATTAGTTTTCCACGAAGCCGGGTTCTGTAGTAATCAGAAGTTCAAAACACATCATTAATGAATGCTTGGATGACACTCAGGGGCAATGTTGCTGTGCTGGGTCTCGTACTTTTGTACATGAGCGTGTGTATGATGAGTTCATAGAGAAAGCAAAGGCACGCGCTGTGAAACGTGTTGTTGGCGATCCCTTTAAGAAGGGTGTTGAACAAGGCCCTCAGGTACTCACATACTTGCATTTCAACGATGTTCTATTCGTTTCATGCACTCATGTGTGACATAAAGAATATAAGTTTTTAAGTGATGCTTCTGATCATTTCGACAATTGACAGATCGACAACGAGCAGTTTGAGAAGGTCCTTCGATACATAAGATCTGGCATTGATAGCAATGCTACCCTTGAATGTGGAGGCGAAAGATTGGGCTCCAAGGGATACTTCATCCAGCCTACCGTTTTCTCAAACGTTGAGGTATATTATTTCCTCATCCAAAGTTAGCCTTCAACCTGTACTCTTGAAATATCGTTTCACGTAACACGATTGCTGTTCATTTCAATCAGGACGATATGTTGATCGCACAGGATGAGATCTTCGGCCCAGTGCAGTCGATTTTGAAATTCAAGTGAGTTAAAAACCTCACACTGCATCAACTCCTTGCATTCTGCAAAAGTTGTAATATTCTACATGCCTAAAAATTCCACATTTTGTACCAGGGAGCTCGATGAAGTGGTACGAAGGGCAAACGCAACGCGCTATGGTCTAGCTGCCGGAGTATTCACAAAGAACATTAACACCGCCAACTACTTGACACGGGCATTGAGGGCTGGGACAGTCTGGGTGAACTGCTTCGACGTGTTTGATGCTGCGATTCCTTTTGGCGGATACAAGATGAGTGGAATAGGCAGAGAAAAGGGAATCTACAGCCTTCACAACTACTTGCAGGTGAAGGCTGTTGTCACTCCTTTGAAGAATCCGGCATGGCTGTAAAATCTCTCGACCGAACCATATGCTCCGATCTGTGTGGTTTCAAATAATAAAGATACAAAAAGTCTGTCTGTAATCCGTAATCGAAAGAAGTTGACTAGTTTGTGGTGATAGAAAGATGTTATACTGTTTTGTGGGAATGCTTCAAAAGTTTCATCCTTCTAAATTTTAGTGATTTTTGTAAACCAAGCGACCGCAAGCTAATGAGACTCCTCGCTTTGCGAAGGTCGGGGAACGTCTATCTTACACAGATTTAGTTTTACTTCAAGACATTTTCTATGACCTGAACCTTCTACATTGTGAACAGTTTGAGTCTATTATAAAATTGCAAATTACAAATAACCAAGACAGATTTACAATCTTGTACCAAGTTGGTTTTAGATTTTTCAATTTTGTTGCCATTGCGTTGCAGCCAACCAAGTTGGTGATAATATCCCAAGTCCATAAACAAAGATTTTCAATTTTATTATATATACTAGAAGTAGGATAGAGGTCGCACTTGGTGCGATGGCAAGTGCCTTCGCCCATGAGCGGTAGGTCTCGGGTTCGAGACTTGGGAGCAGCCTCTCCATAAATGGGGGTAAGGCTAGCCGACATTCACCTCTCCCAGACCCTGCGTAAAGCGGGAGCCTTGTGCACTGGTACGACCTTTTTTTTTTATACTAGAAGTAGGATCAAACTAGGAAGCATGGGCTTAAAATTCGCATGTATCTTATGTCCAAAAAAGTTAAGCCGGTGAAAGATAAAGAGTAATTTCTTTGGAAAAATCACAGTTTGGCAATCAAGGGCCAGAAAATATTTTATAGGTGGGCTAGCTACAAAATAAGGAAAACTAATGAAAATGGCTTGAAAATTTTAAGTTTTAACGATAAGGACAAGATAAAGGGTAAAGTGAATAGTACAAGATTTGACTTTTTAGTGTAAAAATGTGGTTGTTCTTTAAAGTGAACAGTACCGCAAGCTTTTCGTTAAAACTCCCTAAAAAATACCCTAAAATCAAAAGGCTTTTTTTTTTTTTACTACATATGTATTGTATGCAAAAATTTAAGTTTAACTTCTGTATTTGTAAAATTTGTCTGGCAGGAACTCAATAAGCTTCGCAATTGCAAACTAACAAAATTACAATGAATCACCGAATTTCACATACATTTATTTAAACACACGAAGAAGATAAAAAAAAAACTTGATATCTCAATTACAACCACACAACTAGCACAAAGTAAAACACTGAAAGTAAAAGTAAAGACAATCTTAAAAAAATTGGTTGAAACTGGTATAAACCCCACTATCTCAAAGAAAAATAATCTTGAACAAAATGACATCACAATTGTTGTAGTAACTGGTGTGGCTACGCCATTGTTAGCGATAAAACTTTTTTTGAGAAAATTTTCAATGACAGTCAACATGTCAAACTTGATAACAGTAGATGAGATGGTCAATTCGTAACTGAATGTAGTTAGTTAAAAATGATTACACTTAACTGGCTCGATATATCAATGCAACAATGCCTTTTATTATGCAACTTTTATCTCTTAATGAAATTAATTCATTTTATCTCACTAAATTCTTTATTCTTCTAGCTTTATAGCACCACCGTAATTGTTATCAATTTCCATAATACAAGGGGTCGAAAAATTTGATATCCCATTACTCATTAATCTGAACTCTAATAGTAATCAACAACGACGTGCATAATAACAGGAAAATAATAACATCACGTAATCGAATAATTACTTAGTTTTGTAGACCTAACTATTTTGCAAAACAGTGATTGGCAGGCTGAAGGCATCACTCCATGAAAAACAAAAACCTCTTTCCATGGAGAAAAGCATCAAAGAGTAAAATTTTATTTTTTTGGGGAATATCCCAATCACAATCACAGGATAGACCAAAACCAAGTGAACGCGTTTTATAGTATCTCCAGAATTATTGCAATGCAGAGACAACAGGCGCGTTCAATTTGTCACACTATGGTTGGTCCACTTGTCAAATCATCATTAGTTTTCGATGGAAAAGTTTAGAAGATAATTACAAATTAATTAAAAGGATGTGTGGCCACAAACAAGAATTTGATTAGCGAAACGTACTCATTATTTATGTAATAACTTATTGCTTAAGTGATCAAATTGCTCAAGGAATAAAACTGATGAAATTGCTAGGATCTACCGACTAAGATTCTCTTTTCTTTTACTCTCCTCATATTTGAACATTACGATTAAGTCACATTAATATTTTGTGTTGACTTCTTTATAGAGAAACAAACACAGAGTGAAAGTATGAGAAGAAGGAAGAGAATACGAGAAAATAAAATCCTACTCTGAATACTACATCACTACCCCTAAGGAGTTTCATCAATCTTAAACATTGTTTAAGTTAATCTCTTACTAATACATTAATCAATATCGATTAAAATAGTTATGTATTTTCTTGATGTCAAGTACACCACGTATGTTTATTGTTGGAGAATATGTTTCATTCAAAACGAAGAAGTATTATAAGATATAAAATATTTTAAGAAGCTCATACACAATTTAAAACGTGAGAATTATGAATAGAAACGTAACTTTAATCAAATTATTCGTATCACGAATATCGTTATACGAAACAAAAGGCATAAAACATAATCGAAACAGAAGAAATGCACCCGCGATTGAACCATTTGACACATAAACGTGGGCCAACAAAACCATTACAATTCAATCGATGTTTAACTCAAAATTCTGGTCTGTATGAACATGAACTTTGCCAAGCTTTTAAACTCTAATTTTCTATTAATTAATCGTCTATTAGTCTCTCTAATCAAAACCCACTTTGACTCGTAAAACACAGGAAACACACACAAGTGTTCCTCTGTGTGCCCCGCTGCCACCGCAACACGTCAACCACTTCCACGTGTCCAAGTCGGCTTGGTGGTCCCCACAGATATCACTCTCCGGCCGACGATAAACTGTCCGTAGACGCGAAACAGTACACTGAATCATCATTGACGAGTATCCATGAAGCCGCATCAGCCAACCCCACCTCTCCACGTGTCCATGTAGGCCTATCCAGTGAAGTGCACTCCGAGTCAACCTAGGAACGTGGACTCCTAATATCCCGCCACGTGCCCGTTATCTCCCTATATTGCAGCAACGCTTGCTACCCCTCCTCCCATTAATTCCGTGAACAAAAACAGAGCCAAAGCAGAGAAACACTTCTCTTCCGACTCGAATTCTACTCCAAGTCTATGTCCCAAAAACAGAGCAAAAACAGAGATCCTCTGTTTTTCCGCATACAATTGCATCGATGAACCCGAAATTCGACAGCAGCGACCGCCGGATTCTCACGTTTCCGGCGGTGCGACCTTGCGAATTTATTTCTCTGGAGACCCTTCTCGAGTCTCTGATCGCTCTCTCCCACACCATCTGCAGTTTCCAATCGAAATGCTGTGCGACGCAATGGAGGAACAGCCGGGAAGCAATTCGGCAGGTTCGTGTTCTTCTCATGTTCTTTGAGGAGGTACGTGAATGCAATTCGGTTGTTCCGAAATCGTCTGTTGTCGTCTGCCTCTCCGAGCTTCATTTCGTCTTCCAGAAAATTCGGTTTTTATTGGAGGATTGTATGAGGGAAGGTGGTCGAGTTTTGATGCTGACGAAATGCGAGTTTCTTGCGACTCAATTTCGGTTTCTGATTCGAGCTGTGGCGACGGCTCTCGATGTTCTGCCGTTGAAAGTGATCGATGTTGGCGATGAAGTTAAGGAATTGGTTGAATTGGTGTCGAAGCAATCGTGGAAGGCCAACTTAGAGCTCCAAGTGGGTGACAGATTGGCTTCGAAACGATTGCTTGCGATTCTGAACCAATTCGAAAAGGGAATCGAGCCCGATTTGATTGCCGTAAAGCGGGTCCTCGATTACCTTCGAATTAAAAGCTGGAGCGAGTGCAACACGGAGATCAAATTCTTGGAAGAACAAATTGCTATCAAGCGTTTCGATCAGGAGGAGATGGATGTTCCTTTTCTGAGTAGCTTGGTGGGGTTCATGAGCTACAGCAGGGGGCTGATTTTCGAAACATTGGATCATCAAAACCCCGCGAATCAAATCGATTCCAGGTGCGACGTGGAGATGTTTCGTTGCTTAAACCCTGAAGATTTCAGGTGCCCGATTTCTCTGGAGCTAATGCTTGATCCGGTGACTGTATCTACAGGTCAGACGTACGATCGAAATTCGATTCAAAAATGGCTCGACGACGGACACATGCTCTGCCCCAAAACAGGAGAGATGATCACAAACACAGAGTTGGTACCGAATTCGGTTCTCCGAAGGCTGATAAAAAACCTTTGTGAATACAACGGCATTTCTCTCGGCAGGCCAGGAAGGAAAAGCGCCGACAAGGAAAAAACGATCGCACCTGGTAGCCCGGTTGCTAAACACGCAATGAGGTTTCTGTCGAGATTTCTCAGCGGAAGGCTTGCTTGCGGAACAAGCGAACAGCAAAACAAGGCCGCTTATGAGATTCGATTGCTAGGCAAATCAAACATTTTCAACAGGTCTTGTTTGATCAAGGCTGGCTGTATCCCTCCTCTGCTGAGGCTACTGAATTCCGCTGATGCATCCACGCAAGGGAATGCAATTGCAGCCTTGTTGAAGCTCGCGAAATACGCAAGCGGAATGAAATTGATAATGTCATGGGGAGGCCTACCATCAGTTGTTGCTGTTCTTAAAAATGGGTTGAGTTTAGAAGCCCGACAAAGCGCAGCTGCAACGATGTTTTACCTCTCTTCGATGCGGGAGTCTCGGAAACTAATCGGAGAAATGCCTGAGGCCATCCCAGCTCTTGTGGAGCTGATCAGGGAAGGAAATACGTGCGGGAAAAAGAACTCCGTGGTTGCGATTTTCGGGCTGATCCTCCTTGCTAGGAATCAACAAAAAGTGCTGGACGCGGGCATTGTTCCACTGCTAGTTGACATAATATCTTCTTCGTCACAAAACCCTGATCAGCTCGTTGATGATGCATTATCAGTTCTTGCAATTTTGGCTGAAAATGTCGTAGGATCATACGAAATCCTCCACTCCATTGATTTGCAATTGATCATCCGCATTCTTCAAACTTCGACATCCCCAAAAGCAAGAGAGTATTGTGTTTCAACACTGCTGTCTTTGTGCATCAATGGCGGGGCGGAAGTTGTTGCTGTTTTGGCAACGGAATCATCACTAATGCCTAGACTCTTTTCGCTCTTGACGGATGGAACATCTTATGCGATCAAGAAATCGCGCTCCCTCATCAAAATTCTCCATGACTTTCGTGAAACTAGTACATCAAGATGGATGAGTTCTGCAGTTAGGCGCAAACAAGGCGTCCAGGAACGGTGATTCATCTCGATTTTGCATGTAAAATACATTCATAGATATGGTGTAAATATGATTTTTTTTAGTTAGGCTTTTTACTCTCTGATTCTTAAAGAAATCAGCTCAATTTTTTTTTTCAAGTAGCCATATGTGACCATGTTGCTTGTGTATCATTGCATACGGTTGAATTTGGTTTTTCTTGTGGTGGAAGATAGGATTTGTTTTAAAATATATAAATGATGAGACGAAAATCAAATCCCAATTGTGAAATTGATCAAATACTAAACATCGATAACATAATAATCAAGGGCGACAAAAGGAGAGAGCACAATACCGCTGGTCAACATGATCACCAGCTTGACAAACTATATTGGAAGCATAGCTGCCACTTAGTACTACGATCTACTGATATTCTTCAAATCTTAAGTTCTAATCTTGTGAATAGTGAGTTCGCAACAAATATATTCTCCCACCTCTTAATGTAAATTTAGCGTTGCGGCTAATAAGTTAGGATGGGCCCACTCACTTTGGATTTTCCCCAAACATTGCCCTAAGTATTAACAAGCCCAAATAAATGGGCCCAAGACTTAACCTTAGAGAGCCCAACCCACTCGGATCTAATGTAACTTCATGTTTCAACAAGGTTGGGAAGAGCTGAAACCGACATCCCCCCCCCAATACGTCGCCGTTTAGAGCTCACCTTAGGCTTTAAGCTCTTCGACTGTTGAGACTTCACCGTAAAAACCCAGAAGGTTCCGACGTAAAATCCCTAATTCCCAATTTTTCAGATTCTCCGATCTCTCTCTCTCTCTCTCTCTCTCTCTCTCTTTGTGTAAGTTCTACTTGTCCTTTAATTTTCTGTATATTGTGTATTCTGATTTCGCGGAATTTGAAAGCTGAATCGGATTTTTGTTGTGTTAGTTCGCGCTTGGAGAACTGAGATGGCGGCGGAGCCCCAGGCGGTGACGGAGGTCGCGAAGATGGATCTGTTCGAAGACGACGACGAGTTCGAGGAGTTTGATGTCAACGAAGGTATTTAATTTTGCACTTCAATACGTGGGTCAATTGTTTAGCCTTAATTTCAGTTCATTCTCAATTTGTGCTATTTAATTCTGAGGCTTTCAATCGATTGGAAATTTTTGAACATGACTGTTATTGCATGTGTTTTTGAATTGATTTGGAGTTTTTTGCAATGTCTCAGCTTGCATTAGCGATTTAGTTGGTGGATTTAAGTTTCTGGGTCTCTTAGTTTTGATCCTCAAGTATGCTAAAACTGTTGAAGTTCATTTTTTGATGTTGAATTTGGTTATTTTGTTTCGCCATTTCGGATATTGAGCCATTGCAGTTCGGTAATTCGTTAATTTGACGAAGAATTCAAATAGGGTACATTTGTTTTAGACCTCATGCTTGTCGAATTTTGGTTCACTACTTTGGAGATTGAGCTGTTCTAGTTGTGTTCGGTATTGTCTTGTAAATTTCATTTGCGTAAGCACGGTGCTGCTCTGCATAACGGGTTTAGGTTTAGAGAACCTGCATTGCTTTTACTTATGGTTCATACTGCTGTGTGTATGCTTGCAATGCTGATCAGGTAGGAGTTATGCCTCGTTCTAACTTCGTCTTGTTTTGTTTATGAACAATGACAGAATGGGAGGACAAAGAGGAAGGCAAGGAAGTGACACAGCAGTGGGAAGACGACTGGGATGATGACGATGTTAACGATGACTTCTCCCTGCAGCTGAGGAGGGAACTTGAGAACAATACTGAGAAGAGTTCAGCTTAGTATGCAGACTACGTCTGAGGTTTTCTTTGTTTTGTGCATCTTTGCATTGTTACCTAGTTAGTTTTCGTTGAGATGGATTTTCTTGTTATATTTTGTTTCAAAACGGTAGCTTACTGTTAACAGACGTAAAACCTTGTTCACCTTTCCAATGCTCTTTTGTATTAAAGCCTCAAGATTTTGTTGTTTGCGCTAAGTTTGAGTTTTGCTTTGAATCACAAAGGTTAAGCTTGTCTATGTGAATGTGAAATCTCCAGAGCTTGTTGCATTCTGTGTTTCGTAGAGATATAAGTAGAGGGGATTTACGTGTAAATACCCGAAGCTTTGGAAGCTAACATGTTAGGATCTGTCATTTCATTCCTGGTCGTTGTGAGTTGAAAGTGCTTTTGTATATGTAGCGTGATCATGAAGGTGTTGGTATGGGAATACGCTTTCTTACCCGGAACTTCATGTTGTCTGAAAACCCGCCGTTAAGGTCCGATGACATGCCTATTCCACCAAGAAGGAAGAAACGGTCATCACATATCTTCGTAGCTGTGTACTTGACTGATTGGTTTGTTCGTCGTGCTTCTTCCAAATGAACTCATCGCTTTGGGTCTTCATGGCTTGCACATAGTGATTGTTTTAAATGCATGAAACGGAGAAGCTAAGGTGGCGCTATCCCAACCCTATCACGCATCCTCATGTTTTAACAGCGCGAGATCGTATTATTGAAGCTAAGGTGGCGCTGTCCAACCCTATCATGCATCCTCATATGTTTTAACAGCGTGAGATCGCATTATTGATTTGAAATACCGTCAGCTTGGTGTCTCCGTTTATGCAAGTCCTCGAGGCTTAGGAATAACAACGGGGCAAAACTTGTTCTTTTGCCCCATAATGCAAGGCAACCGTCGAGGATTTGCAACCTATTGTGGCTTCAAATCCCTATCAGCTTGTCGGCTTATTCCAAATATAAATCACTTGGTATATAATCACGTTAAGCAGAACCAGCATTGAGTTCTTTAGGAAAAGGGATAGGCAAGCAAGAAACTTTTTACAAAAACATCACCATTAACAATGAAAACAAAACATAAAAAACCTGCCTTCTACGTCATTTCGATTCGATAATCGCCCGAAACGCTGCTTTCCCCTCCCAAACTCACATCAATCTTCGGAGTTTTAGCACAAGTCCGACACACCGGACAAACCGGAGTCTTCAGCAGCCATGAATCTATGCATTGAGCATGGAAGCTGTGCTTGCAATTTGGCAACAACCTGCACTTTTCACCTCCCTTGAAACTTTCCAAGCAAACTGCACAATCCCCAGGGCTAGTAGCAGTCCCTTTCTCTTCTGCCGTGTAGTCGAAGCAAGGCAGCATGTTGAGTTCCTCGTTGGACATCCTTTTGATCCCCAAAATGCTGCTTCTTTGAACCAGATTAACACCTTGATTATTGGCTCTGTTGAATGCTCTCCCAACAATACAAACATGAATTACTACTAAAACAACAATCCCCACGAACAGTAGGATCACAGAGATTAAAATCTCCATTGCCATAACCCTAGAAATTGTACAAAACCCCAGAAAGATTTGATCTTTTATTAGCACACTAAAATCCCAGAAGATTGTTTTTACCTCAAAACCCATACAACACAAAACCCAATCAGCTGTAAGCTCCTGGAACGGCCAAAAGCGCTTCTGACTGCTTTTGACAGAAAAACTCAGCTCCCACCAATTACCAAATGCTTCTTCAGGCGACGTTCCAAGTGATTTTCTAGAAAGCACGCATTCGGATTTCTAATAAAAAAAAATTCCAACGCACTTCTAGCGGAAGTGCTTTCTAGAGAAGCAATCCTACACGAGCCCAGAAGCTTTTGAAGGCCACCTCATGCATCTAAACCACTGATCTTATCTGGAAAAAAACGCAGCTTTGAACAGGCTGGTAACTGAAACAGAAGGAAAGAACAGAAGCTTAACATGTCTTGGGATTTGAGTTTTGGTTGAATTATGTGGCAGCTTTGTATTACAAGTGGGCTGCTTCTGCCCCTTTGTGCTATTAACTATTAAGTTACAGATAGAGGGAGGATACAGATTCAGGGCCTTATCAGTAATCATAATATTTCTTTTTTCTTTTTTTATAAGGGAACAGAAAACGACACATTTGACTCTTGAGAATTGAGGCAGAAAGGTTTTAATCAAAGTTTAGACTAATCGAGCGGATTAGTCCAAAATAAGAAGTAATCTACGGTTTAAAAAGATTGAAAATTTGGTTAAGTTCTCTGATTGAGAGAGAGGCAGAGAGAGTGGAAACAGCATAAAAGTTGAGGGCCCGGCGGCTTGGCCTTGTCTGGGAAATTTGCAGAGTGAAACAATGTATGTTTATTAATGGAACCGGCTTATTTGGGTCTGTTTGATACGGTTCGGTTTTTACGGGTCGACGAATCTGTTTTCAATCATATGTCGTATGACAAAAAAACAATACAAAACAATCTATGTGTGTTCTGTTGCGAGAGAATTAGTCTAACAAAGTCAATACCGACAAATGTTTGAAAGAAAGAAATTTTATCGTTGTGAACCACTAATAAAATGACAAGTGCTAAGACAATCCTCAGACAGTCTGAGCCGGGTAACCCGCACATAAGAAATATGAACTCGATTTTGGAATCGGTTTTATACAAATTGGGTCCAACTCTGATCATTTTGAAAATCAAAAGTAAGAAACGGATGGTTTTACATTGGGCTTGGTTATACGGTCCGAATTCACGATTCTAAAGATCCGTATGCCCACCCCTTAATACTTTATATTTAAGTCGGGACAAGAATGCTAAATCCTAATTACAGTTCGAAATATGTCCAGAAACTTTTATCATAATGGTTTTGGAGACTTAATTTTGCATTTATATCTATTGTGACTTGCATGTATAAAAAGATGACTTCATATTTCTTGATGATAACTTATCATTGATCCGATTGATTTAAACAAACGCTAAAGAAATTAGATTTTGCTCATCAACAAATTGGATTTTCTTAAAACGATGTTTGTATAATCAAACTTGTACAAGACTTGAGTTTGCTAAACAAATTGCTTATTATTTCTAAATTTTGTATCATGAGCTTGTGATTAAGTAAAGCATTAAAATACTAATTGTATGAGAGATAAGTTAAGAGGGTGAGAAATCCATTATCACCTCATGCTCAGATCACACCCTAAACTCAGTCGAATTAGTAGCTAGGGTGCATTATTTTGTGATTTGGCTCATCAAAATACTAAGACCAAACAGGTTTAGGTTTCCAATTGGTGGTGGAAAAAGCGAAAAGGATTGTGCATAGTTAGTTCCCATAATAATTGAAATATATTTTCTTTCTAATCACAATCAGTTTAGGGCATTATCAAGTTTGTTTGATAATATATATTTTTAGGGTAATACTAGGAAAACTATTTTCTTATTGGTGACATATCTTTTAATTTGCAAATTTAATATAAACATTAGTTTACCTAGCATTTCTCATATTCTGGAGAACTACATTCCAGCTGACCATGTTATTACTCATAATTAAATTATGATGTCAACCACCAGAATCTATCCTATACTTCAATTGATTTTGTCATGACACCTACATACAAAAAGAATTAAGGGAGTTTTAACGAAAGGCCCACGGTACTGTTCACTTTAACGAAAAATCATATTTTTACACTAAAAAGTCAAACCTGGTACTATTCACTTTACCCTTTATTTTGTCCTTATTATTAAAACTCAAAGTTTTCAAACCATTTTCATTAGTTTTTCTAAAAAATTAATCGAGGAGGTTCAGTAATGCAAACTTGTCAGCCCAACTTAGTCTGGGAAGCAATAATTAATTTGTGGCGGTTGGGGAATTAGATATACATCTTACTTTTGTTCAAAAAATAAAAAATAAACATCTTACTTTTAACTTTTAATCTAGTTTATTAATAATGTTTCTCAAGTAATCATATTTAATCATGCAGGATGTATCAAAACTTTAAATCATCCGGGTACAGCTCATGCGTGACAGTGGGTTGATAATTACATGCAAAAATGAAAAGGTTGACAAGGATCAATAGAAAAAATTGTATATCACACTACTATGTTTGTTTCCAAAACCAGAAGGTTGATTAAAATGTAAAGCTTAAAAAACCAAGAGTTCGAGCCCGGAAAATAAATAGACAGTGTAGATCGCGATAATGTGGGTGTGTCACTATTAGAGGCCGCTAGTAGACAGATCTCATGTACTAGAAAATTGCACCTAATTGACTCCTAATCAAAAGATTGTGTAATTGAGTGGGGAGGCTCAACTTTGAGTTCTTTTTGCCTTGAATGCTAAGGACTTCAGTTTTTCTTGTATTGTAGGAAACCAAGTCACAAAAATGATTCAAAGAGAGAAATTATATTGAAAGACATAGTTATTACAAGGGGAACTTGAAAATGAGAAGCTAGATAACAAGAGAAAGCAAATTAAATCAAGAGCTTTGCCAAAGAAGGCTTGCTTTGAATTTTGAGAGAGAGAGCTTAGAGAAGATATGATACGTCTTCGCGGAAACTACTTGATTCGACAGAGACTTGGAGAAGGAATGGTACTTCTTCTCTTTGAAATGCTTTGAGGAAAGCTTGCTTTCTTTTAGAGGTTTGCTCTTTGAGGGACTTTGAGAGATTTGCTCATAGGAGGCTTTTGTGAGAGAGATTGAATAATCTTGATTTTTATTGAAGTTGTTGGGGTTATCTCCTTTGCCCATACTCTTCCCTGTATAGTGCTCCATGATGCCCTAGGTCTTCATCAAAATATCTTCAGATTGTGGCTACAATGCAATGCAAAGCTCTCACATTAACAAGATTTTTCACCACACAATGATTATTATGCCCGTAATTATCCTCAAGACTTTAAGGCCATAAATCAATCTTAAACTGTCTGATAACATGACAAATGGGTCTTATAGAATTCATGTGAACTGTCAAATTGTAGTCCAAGCACCAAGTATATAAGGTTCTGTTAGGGCCGATGGACATTTGATTAGTGACATCTACCCTTTATTTTATGGAAAAACGTTCTAGGTTCAAATTTTACAGACGAGAGATTGTTATAGTTTTTACTTTTGAAAAAAGTAGGTAGGATTAATTAACATACCAACTAATTAACATTCTGTATCCTTGATTAAGGGGAAAGAATAGAAGTCAGACAGACTCGTAAGTAACACATTGTGCATGTATACCAACTAATTAACATTTAGCGTAGACGTGGTAACTATGTTCTATCTAAATGTTAAAAGTATGGTCCAAATTTGAATTCCGAGAACAGAAAAAATTTATGCACGTTGATATTGAAAATGAAAAACCAACATGAAGTTAGAATATGATTCTTTCTCCTCCAAATTCTCATTCTCCTCTCTTACAATTTATTTGAACGTTTACAATTAAATCACGTCAACATCTTGTGTTGATTTTTTGGTATAGAGAGAAAGTCAAAGAGGAAAGTGAGAGAGGAGGGAAGAAAAGTAGAAGAGATTTGGAAGGGAGATAATCCTACTACCATGAAGCCTTTTTTGTAGAGAGAGAAAGCCAAAGGAGGAGAGGAGAAATGTAGAAGAGCATTTTTGTAGAGAGAGAAAGCCATAAAGGAAAGTGAGAGAGGAGGGGAGAAAAGTAGAAGAGATTTGGAGCGCGTGTGATCGTTTGACTTCACATGTGAGACAACCTGCTCTGATATCATGAAGAAAGTTAAGGTTCCACCATAAAACCAATTGGCAATATGGGGAGTACCCCAGCCTCTTATAAGCCCGTGCAAGGTCTCTCCTCTCATCAATGTGAGATTCATTCTCAACGCAAATTTTCAAACCTAACACGTGGACAACACAACGAGGTGAAGTGGAACGCGTGTGACCGTTTGACTTCACACGTGGGACAACCTGCTCTGATACCATGAAGAAAGTTGAGATTCCACCATAAAACCAATTGGCAATATGAGGAGTAGCTAGGTGTCTTCTCTCATCAATGTGGGATTCATTCTCAACATATACTCTACCTGAAATAGGGGGTTTTGTGTTTTCCCTTTTTTGTGGAACCCTAATTCATGGCCACTATACACCATATGGAAAACAGATATACAGTGAGAAGATGAATCGCCACACTCATGCCAATCCTAATTTAACGGTGAATTATCCAGAACCGTTAATTAATTAGCAAAAGAAAATTTAATTGCTGTTGATTAGAAAACTAAGGACGAAAATTTAGTCAAGAGATTTAGAGACCCTCCGGTTTTAGTGGACCAAAACTTCATGCATCCATTCATATAGGATGGCCAGGTTGACCCTTTAAATAATCAAGATTTGGATTCATTAAGATGTTTAGTAATTAAAGCTAGCACTCAACGTATAAATGGTGGACATAGGCTTAGTCAGAACGGTTATTGGCATTATCGGTCAGTGAAATTGTGATCGGTGCTGTGTTTTACCTCTTACTTGTACAATTTTCATTTTTCGTTTTTGCGTTATCAATCGTGACGTATCGAGTTCATTGCATGGGACGACCTGACAAAGAATCAAAGAAGCATGCATATATTGTATGTATTATTTGAAAGAAATACATCGGAAATGTTCTCTACATTTTGATAACACTGTTTATATTACGTGCCCATCTAAAAATAATAATCAGGTTGATTTTTGTGTGAATGTGTTATCTTCTGACAAAAAATTATCCAAACGTAATCTTCTTTAATCTAGGTTATGTTCTTCGAGTATTTCTTTTCTTTTACATTTTTTTTTAATTAAATCCTACATCTCTAATGCTTTTCTTGTTCCATTTATCCCTTGTATCCAGGAAATATCATCTCTTTGATCATGTTTCTGTCCCCAATGTAATTCTCTCTCTCTCTTTCTCTCTCTCTTAATTCTTTGAAATAACAAAACTAATTAATATATAACTGTGTTGATTAATGAATTAAACATCGCAGACCAACATTTTATAGAATAGTAAAGCAAAAAACAGTATCAGATTTCAAGCCGGATCCCTACGTAGTAACATTGCTGAATTGTGCCTTATGGGTCTTCTACGGCATGCCCTTTGTCCATCCTGACAGCATTCTTGTGGTATCAATCAATGGCGCTGGAGTTGTCATCGAACTAGTCTACATTCTCGTCTTCCTCATCTTTTCTCTAGGCTCACAACGCGTAAGTATGTATTGCAACGTGTAGCTTTTACGTACAATAAAAAATTGACGCACTTGTTGATATGCTCCCGAATACAAGTAGCTTTTACGTACAATGATACGATTCACCTTTATTTAAAAGCATACTAACAGTGAGTTAGTTTTGTGTACCAAAACGTTACGTTGTTAAATTAATTAATTGAGTATTAATGCTTCTTTGTTATTCAAGTTATCTTCTTTGTTATTGCGGTAAAACTTATAACCTAATTTTTTTTCTTTCCTTTTCTTGGATTTCAGCTAACGATCTTTAAAGCACTTGTGGTTGAAGTTATCTTCTTTGTTATTGTGGTTTTGGTTACCATGTACATTTTCCATACAACTAGACACCGGTCTTTGGTAGTTGGAATCATCTGCATTATCTTCAACATCCTTATGTATTTATCACCCTTGACAGTCATGGTATGTATATATATATTTCTATTAATTACTAAGCACCCTCAATTAATATTGAATCTCGTCATTAGAAAAAACCTTAAGTAGAGCAGAAAGGCTGTGATGGTGTTCGTTGATAATTGTATCACATAAGACCGGAACATAGCCAAATACAATGAGACCTGTTACTTTGTGAGAGTGCGTGACTGTTGTTACCCTACCCAAGTTTCTCTCCATTTCATTGATCTATGAGTAAATAAATTACATATATTTGCTAACTTCTTCAATGGGGTTGTTTGGCAGCGTATGGTGATCAAGACAAAGAGCGTGAAGTATATGCCATTTTACCTGTCACTTGCTAACTTCTTCAATGGGGTTGTTTGGCTGGTCTACTCACTCCTTAAATTCGATGCCAATATTCTGGTAATTTATAAACCGAATTAAGTTTCAACGCATATTAATTGACGATATGAGGGCCAAGTAATAAATCAAAGAACTTCTCCTATACAAATATATAAAAAAATAATCAAAAACTTATATTTAAGTTTCTAACATATTTGTTTGAATAACTTTGGTAGCTTCCAAACGGTTTGGGAACGATTTCCGGCGCAGTGCAGCTCATTTTGTACGCCATATTCTACAGAACCACTCGATGGGAAGACGACGAGAATGACAGGCCGCGGTCAGAGGTCCAAGTGTCTAATGTTTAGAAAGAAATTAATTGACAAACAACAACAAAATTTTGTTCCATTAAGTAGGTCGGTTGTTTAGAGAGAAATTAGTTGACATGCATCAATATTTGTTTTTTTGTTTTATTTTTTATGGCCAACTAGTTTAGTTCTTGAGCCATTTCCTCAATTTTTGTAGGTATTTGCCTGTATTGTTTGTTGTAAGTTAGTCATGAGATAGAAAGATAGATTACCGCTGCAATTAACTGTATCAGTTGAGGTAATCAATGTCATTTGCATATTAGTGGTTCTATTAATTTGAACCCTCAAATTAGCTCAGTTGATGCTTCCTTTTTGAAATAAGTTTTATCCAATTTTTGTTCTTCAGAAAAACTAAAACACAACCTTTTATGCTCCATAATTATATATAACGGTTGTACTTCGCAAACTTGAAATTGTTAGGATCCGTTTGGAAATGTTTTAAGATAACTAAAAATGTTTCAAACAGTAGTTTCAAATAGCATCTTTCAATGAGTCACTTAAATGTTCTTTTTTTTTTTTTGGTAATCTTGAGATATCATAGCTCCAACCTTTCGATACGTCAAAGGCCTGTAAGATGAAGACTACCTCATTTATCTTTAACTCGTTTGGAAATACTTTCTAGAGGTGCTTCTCCATAAACCATGTTGAATGTATTGAACTGAGAAAAGAAAAAATGGAGAGAGAGAGAGAGAGCTGTATATATAGCCTGAATTATCACAACTGAATATTCTTCTTAGAATTACACTGATCTCTCATACCCTATTTTGTACAAAGAGTAGTTGCTTAGCTCCAAAGCAATGCTGTTAGAGTAACTAACTTGATAATTAACCAACCAATCCCCATCATTCATCTTAGAAACAATCTCAACCATACAACTGTTATCAGAAGTTACCGTATTCACAAAAAATTATGTGAATGTTTTGAGGATTATTTTTATTGTTTGCCACTAAACTGTTACACACTAAAGCAATGCTGTTAGAGTAACTAGCTTGATAATTAACTAACTAATCTCCACCATTCATCTTAGAAACAATCTCAAGTCTCAACCATACCGGTGTTATCAGAAGTTACCGTATTCACAAAAAATTATGCGTATGTTTTGAGATTTTTTATTGTTGGCCACTAAACTGTTACACATTTGCCATTTATTTGTACAATCTCCCTAATAGAGGTAGGCCCACCAATACTTGTGAGTTCATACAAATGATGGTACAAATACATAGTAAAAATAACATTTATTTATTTATTTTTATATGAAAATTTAGAATGTGCTTTGAAATAAGACCACTCTTATTGTTTTTTTACCCCCACTCCAATTCTAATCAAGCATTGTCTTTGATAAATTTTGCTTGGCTTCTGGGCAGCAAATAAGTTATGAAAACTCTAGAATTTATTGCCCTGCTAATATTAATCGTGGAATGGCTTTTGTTCCTAGTCGCATTTGTGGTTCCCCTCTAACTGATGATTTGGGGAAGTATTTGGGAGTTCCGCTCATTCATTTTCGCATCACAAAAACACCTACAAAAGCCTGGTAGAGAAGTTCAAACTCAACTTTCTGCCTGGAAGGTGAATTTAGAACTAGTCGGGCCACTCTTGTTCAATCTGTCACCCCTGCAATCCCAGTATATACTATGCAGATAGTGAAGTTACCACCTATCATTTGTGATCAACTTGACAGGTTGAATAAGAATTTCGTCTGGAGCTCCACTCAATCCAAAAGTAAAGTCAACTTGCTTAAATGAAGCTAAGTCTGCCTTCCGAAGTATCCGGGTGGGCTTGGCTTGAAAAACATGAGTTTGGGATCATTGTCTGGCCTGGTGCAGTTCATTCTATATGCAACCTACTACCAGACCACCAATTGGGAAGAGGAAGAAAAACCAATAAAACAAGTTCCAACTCTCTGATATTTAGAAGAAATGATAGGGATTAGGGAGCTTCTTGCTTCAATATTCTTTATCTTTTTGTAGGACCAACTAATTCTTGAGCTTTTTATTCATTTATTCCTTTATTTGTTCTCAAATTTTGAATTGTAAATTGTAATTTGCAATGTTGGTTATATAAAAAGATCTATTTCTCAATTCACTGTGCTGATTTTTTTTCTTTGTTTTTTTTTTGGGACGAACACTTTCCTGCAGTCAATTACCAAAATAATTCATCAAAAGAGTACACACCAGAAACTAAAGGCAACCTCAAGTGAACAAGACTCAATCAAGAAAGAGTCAAAGATGGTATTTATTTAAATCCCTCTCATCATTCCTCGTCAAATCTTCACTCAAAAGATAACTCTCAATTTTCCTATTCAATTTAGGATTAATTACCAAATTAATTGTAAGATATTATTTCACATAATATCTTGCAATTATATTCAAAATACCACCATAAGTGACCGGTCCTTATTCTCCAAATAGGGCCGGCCACACCCCTATATATAGTCCAATTTCTCCACCAAAAAGCTAACTTCTCTTGGCCTTGATCTTAGATGTTATTATTTTGCAGGTGCATTTTCGCCAAAGAAGAAGAGGGAGGGAAATTTGCATCCACAAACAAAGTTCCCGGCTTTGCGAGGGTCTCGAAGAATGTCTATCATACACAATGTCAATCAAATTAAATAGATACAGAAATATGGTTAATTTAATCATAAATTCATGACAATATAACTAGTATATAATGGATCTTACAAGAAGCTGGTAGTGCCAGTCAAATTAATACACATTCGTTTAAGGAAAAGGAAAAAAAAATGGGAACAATATTAAATAAAAGCTTTACATCCTCCAAGATAATAAGAGAAATAGCATTGCTCGTCAATGTATACCCGGAAGCCATTACCTTCCACCACCTTTCTGTTCATCTCCTTTTGATTTTCCAGATATCTTTTCTTCTGTTTGCTATCTTAAGTACAAATTGGACTCTTTTGATCTTAAAAACAATCATATCCCAATTGGTCTTTCAATGAATAAATCTTCACGGTCCTCTTTTCTTTCGAAAGCAAAGACAGCCCTGAGACTGATCTTGAGGGATCATACCTCCGCCTTTCGATGTGTCGATCGCCTCCAACATTGTGACTACCTCATCCATCTCAGGCCGCTTGTCTGGATTCGCATCCCAGCATCGCTTCATTACGTTTGCAAGCGCACTTGGACAACATCTTGGTATCTCCGGTCTCAAATTCTGTAATTGCCAAGAGGCGTAAATAAAAGGATTAATTTCAAGCAACACAAAAATGACAACTTGGGCGTATGGTTGAGATAGGAGAATGGTTAACCTGGCGAACCACAGCTGAAGTCACTTCCGAGAAACTAAGGTCAGGATATGGCATATCACAGCAATATATTTCCCATAAACAGATGCCGAAACTGTACACATCACATTTCCTGTTATACGGGTTGCCATTGAGGACCTGTCACCCATCCATATGGCAAGTCATTAAGCATCCAGTAAACAATTCTTTTATTGTATGCTTCCTATCTCAGCATAAATATTAGCAAAACTGCCCCCGTTATGTCAAGCGAAACAGGGTTTGGAAATGCCAGAGTTTCATTTTCATGCAATAAGAGAATCGTATTAAAACTACATGCGCATACACATGTGAATACCGACTCCCTAAGATTCAAGAAACGTAGCTGGTAAGGTGGTGAAGTCGTAGCCAGAATAATTTTAGCAACTAAAGTAGACCAAATACCTCAGGAGCCATGTAACCTAGTGTGCCAGTCTCCCCAGTCATGTCATTGGGATTTGAAGCTTCAACACGAGCAACACCAAAATCAGCAATCTTGACCGCACGAGTCTTGTCCAGAAGCATGTTCTCTGTCTTTACATCTCTGTGGACAATCTTCTGTGAGTGTAAGTAGCTCAACCTATAAAATACAGCACAAGTAAGTCTAAGTGCTTGGCTTGACAATAACGCAGCCTGAAGCTCACTCTTTATCTACTAAATTACAATGCTCTAAGAAAAAGGAAATTAATAGTAGCATAAGAACTGAAAAGGGATACCCTCTAGCAAGATCTAGTGCCAGCTGGACAACGACTTTAAAAGCTAACTTCCTTCTCCTATTCTTTATGAGGTACGATTTTAGAGCACCCCCAGGAAGATATTCTACAACGACACAACAGATATTTGTTGGCATGCCAATTTGACCATTTTCTGTCTGTATTTGTAGATCTGATGAACCCATTGTTGCCCCAATAAACTGGACATCAACAGACCAGAAGATTAGCGAGATTCAATCTATAATAAAAACTACTAGAAAGCAATAGCAATGTGTATCATATTTCTGGAAATCAAAAGATAATCACAAATATTTTATGCGCGCATTTAATGTACTGAAGCAGCATTAAAGTTTTGAACTTCTTATAGCCTGTTAAATAGCATAGAAAATTGTCGTATGTATGACGTCCGGACAAAAGAAAATGTAGCATGTATTCACTACTGTGCAGATATTTAAAAAGTCATCGCTTAACTTATTTGCTACCTGATATTGCTAAGTAAATTCTGAAAATTCATGATACAAAAACTAAGAGCCTGTTTGGTATCATATTTGAAATTTTTATCATTTCTCAAAACATTTCTTAAGAACATTTCTTGAAAACAATTTTCTTTAAGACTCAAAAACTTAATTAGTTTGCTATTTAAAATTTTTAAATCTTATGACTTAAACTTGATTGGATTGGAGGAGAGACGAAAAAGGTAAAAAAAAAAAGGATAAAGAAAGAAGAAAAGAGAGAGATAGATTTGGAGTGAGACGGGAGGAGAGAGAGAGAAAAGAAATGAGTGGGTTTAAGTTTAAAAACTCTAAAAACTCACTTTTTATGTTTTTAGAGAATAGACTATATTTTTGAGTTAGTCTTGAGTTTAGTTTTTGAAAATAGTCATACTAAACAAGTTTTTAAGGCCTAAAACTTGAAAAGTGCTTTTGAGTTTAAAAAATTAGATTCAAGTACAGTACCAAACAGGCTCTAATGCTTCTACCTCACTCAGGTGGTGAGAGATGCAACTGAAGGATACCAAAGAAAAGGAAGGCAACTGTCTCAGGTACGGTTGCAACCTTAGGCCATGATAAATCAAGGAGGATAATGGTACGCTGACTAGAGAACAATTGTATAACTAGGAAGTTAGAAACCTTTGCATGGTCAGTGGACGCCCTATGGATAACCGCAGAAAAACCAACCCTAGTGAAGTGACATAGTGAATGTCCTTAGTGTTGCATATGCTAGAGGTTTTCTTAAAACAAACACATTCGGGTTTTGATATTCATAAAAGTTAGAAGAATCGATCAAATCCAAATGACACGTCCGAAAATTCTTAAAAAAGAGAGGTGGAAAGTTACCTTAGTAACATTAGGATGATCTAGTTTATGCCAGACAGCAACTTCTTGAGTAAAAGCTGCCCTTAGAGAAGCAATCTCGGAGTCTGTCCTGTGACCCTCTTCACCCCAGTCAAGCAATTTAACTGGCATTAAAAAATGGAGCCTTCATTATAAGGGTAAAATTTGCAACCCGATTGTGTATCATCACGAACCAACAAAACGAAAAAAGGAAGAGAAGAATACAAAGAACCGAAAAGGTCATAATTTGGTTGGATTAGAAGATGATGACAACAGCAACTACAATAATGTGTTGACAAATAAGGAGTTTCGCTAACATAAATACGTATGGATGAACATTTTTCCTATTTGGTTGTTGAATAAGTTTCAACTAACAGGTGGGGAACTCACATGAAAGTCAGGAATACAGCAACATTATCCAAGTTGCTCTCAACAGAAAATTCAACACAAACCCGTGTAAGAGTCACGGACTCCATAAAAGTACAATTACAGTGGACAATCGGCAACCTTCATTGCAGTCCATTGAATATGTGCATTTGGAATTTTGCCACACACATATGTATATAATACCTAAATGTATATAAACTATAAAGTAAGAAACTTGTAGTGACTTGCAAGATCAACCACAAAGTTCAACTAATCCAACATTTAAACTGACTAAACAAAGTGAATAATTGCAAGACAACACCATAATCAACCTTACTTTTGTGTTTAAACTACATTTTACAGTAGAAAACCCAAAGTGGAAATTAACAAAGATCTTCAATTATCTCCCAAAATTCAATTAAAGTAAAGTAAAAAACCAAATGGGTTTTGCTAAAAACATCCATAATACACTGCAGAAAATAGATACAACAAAAAGATAACATTGTAAGAAAGGGGTATCGAAAATTGAAAGAAAAAGATTGAATTTTTGGGGAGAAAGTCACAAAAGTGAGGAACTCGACAACTTCTAAAGGACCCAAATGAAAGATGAGCTAAAATGACAGGACGGGATTACCGGCGACATCTTGACCGTCGTAGATGCCACGGTGGACGGTGCCGAAGGTGCCACGAGCAATGACAGACTTGATGAGGAGCTTGGAGGGGTCGATCTCCCACTCCTGGCGGTGGCGCCTGGGGATGGAGAGGGTCATGGAGGAAGTGGAGGTGGTGGTCGTGGGGGTTGTGGTAGCGGTTGAATTGGAGTTGGAGGTAGTGGTGAGGTGGATGCTGTTGGAATTGGTTTCAGGGTCTCTCATGATCTTGTTCTTCTCCAAAGTCAAGACCCTGTTGAGATGCCTTTCCAGCTGCTCATCCAAGCTCTTCAGATCAATCTGATCTGCCCTCACAAACCCATCTGAGCTTTCCTTCATTTTTTTCTTGCTTCAGCTTCTGGTTTTTTCACCCTCAGAAGCTCAGAAATTGAACGAGTTGGGTTCCGTTTTGTTTTGTGTTTTGACTAGGAAATGATGAGTATTGACTGTGACTATGAGAGAGAGAGGGGGGCTGTGGAGGAGGAGGAAGGAGAGCAAAGGGGAGGGGAGGGGGTAAGAAATGAAATGAATGAATAAGAAGAGTGGCATGTGACATGTGAGCACATGGTGTTGCCTACAATCAACGTGTGCTTCTGAGTCTTCTGACCCACTCTGGTCTCCTTCCCCAGGTCCCAACCTCCCCTTCCTCTCTCCCAACTCCTATCTTTTTATTTACACCTATTTATTTTTATTTTTGTTGATAAGTTAACAAAAGTCTTGCCATTTGTACTACAGTTATAGGTTTGATACTTATCAAAGATAAATTTGAATTACATTATCGCTATCTCATTGGGAGGAGCTTACTACTCCATTCCTTTAGTGTATATAATATCATTTGTTCAAAAAAAAAAAAAATCGTGGCCACGACCCGCTATCTTTGCAAAGAGTTTGTGATTCAAGTTTGGGCTTGCGTTTTTTCCTCTTTTTATATTGCTTGTTTTTAAAAAAAAAAAATTGCTCTAATCTACTGAGTAAGAATTTCAAACTTGAGTTTAAGAGAACATACACATTATCAACACCAATTTTGTTTTGTTATGAATTAGTAATGATATTAGAAGCTTGTTTGATGTAACGACTTAAAATGACATATGTTACATCGCAATTTAAAATGATACATGTTATTTTTTCTTGAGAATGCTAGAAAATTTGGATTAGAATTCAGAAGGCGGCTAAAAATAACTAAAATATTAATATTTCATAATTTAAATTATGTGAACGTATGAATCCGTGATGTGATCAATTAACATAAAGTTTATAAGGTCATCACCAAAAAAGAAACATAATAAAACTGAAGGTGAAAGTTTCTATTGGCGATTTCGAACCAACCTGCTTGTTCGTCTTTTATATTCAAATTGATTTTTCCAATTAGGCGTCGTTTACTTGTTTGTTTGGAGAAATTTTTTTGATGTGTCGGAACACGGTCTGGTATATCAAGTATCACAATGTAAGTGGTTGAATTTTTTTCCTTTTCAAGTATCTATTTACTTATATTATGACACATGATATCACGATAAATTGAAAAATCTCTCGTTCGTTTGACGCTTTCGCTTTGGAAGATCACAAATATCAAAATCCAAAAAACGTAGAGAAGTTGGATTCAGAGTGGTTACGTGTTCATGAACTCATTGAAGTTGGGCCACCACCATCACCAATTGGTACTAATCCAAAAGCTAAAGACCAAACATGATTAGAACCGTGTCCTAAATGGGAAGGGTACTTGCGTAGGATGGATCGTATGCGGCTTTTCCTTTTACGAGTGGATTAGATGACACAAAAATACAATACATGGGAGGTCTCGATTTTGTTCTTGAATTAACAATAGCGGTTTATGAGGTTTGAATTAAGAACATCTTTCAACAAAGTGAAAATTCAGTGCCGCTTAACAAGTGATTTGTTTATGTGTTTATAAGGAGCTTTGTTATTTCTTATTATTTTGTTGTTAAAACAAAAATAGTGTAGAAATATGACTTCTTAAATTAATCTGATACAACATTTTTGGTAAAATGCATATATTAAAAGAAACCTAAAATAATCACAATAAAAAATTAAATTTTTATAATTACGGAAAAAATTCCAGAGTAAGTGAATTTTGTCTTGTCAAAATTGATAGCCTCCACAATGGGCTGTGGCTTGCCATTCTACTAAGTGGGACTGGGCCTCATTGTAGACCTTGCAGTGCTTTAGGGTTCACATAGTAACAGAGCAGCACGAGCAATGAATTGGATGTCAGTAGATTGACTCAGCCCAGCCCATTAGGTTGCAAAGAATTAATTTTTTTTTAATGTTTATAATTGAATGGCATTGGAGAACGAAACTTTAAGTTAAACCACACAATGTATTGGTCATAATTAAATTTTAGACTCATAATTCATGGAATTCAACTTATAATATCCTATCTAAGAGAAGGTGAGTGCCACTGAACTGCAGAACGGAAGGCTCAAATAACTAAATATTTAGTTATGTATAATTATGTTGTCCTTGCATCGCAGTGGCATTTTATTATAGTGGTAGAGATGAGCGTTTGGCTTACACCACGACGTGAGTTTGAACCATGTCGACTCTTTAATCTAACATCTAAGGTCATCTCCAAAGGAGATGTCAAAAATGCCATATAGACATATAACAGTAACAAATGACGTACCATTTACTCCAATTGAAATATCAAAGATGACATGGAAAAGAAGGCTAAGTTGACATGGATAGAGTGATGTCAAAATTGACAGTACCTTCAAATATAGTTTTTGCTATTTCCAAAGACATTCCACTTACCTTACCTTAAATGCTAGCATATTTAAGTATTATTTTATTATTAACCAACAACAACCCAACTTTATTATTTTTGTTAAAAAAAAACATAAATAAAACAATAAAATTTGGCATATCGGGTGGAAGTAAAATTTTGACAATATGTCAAATTATCAAGTCAGCCATCAAATTGAAATTTAGTATATTGAGTTTGACTTCTTCTTTGAAAATACTCTAATCTAATAAATCTACTATTTGACAAAAAAAAAAAAAATTGTGATTGTAGCATATCTAGAAGCTTGTAGCAACGCTAATTTTGTGAGGCATATATAACATGGACGGTGTGGTCTGGCAGATTTCTGATATAAAAAGCAGAGATTTACCAACCTTAGATCCTCAATAATATCAAGCTTTCGCTTGAAAGAGTGATTACGACATAACATTGAAGGATGATATCTCCAAAAGGGACCATATAATTTGTAGATATATTTTTGTTCTTGCCTTTGGTATTTTCAGCAGTGATCCAATGTGGATGCATCTCCAACGACCACAGATTTGCTATCAAATCAGTGTTAAAATATCCACAAAATTATTGATAGTTCCGTCGAAATATTCAAAGATTAAGGTTGATATGGAAAAAATTTGATCAAACTCATTGCATATTTCGAACTTTTGATTTTTTTTGGAGAGATTTCTCTCTAATTTCGACTAAATCTAAATGAGTTGATATACCCACCCCCACCCCCATTGCAAATTTCTATAATTCCTGTCGAAGGCAACCGAATATTGATATCGATATATCCATCGATATGTAAATTTATAGAATTATCGATAGATATATCAATATCAATATAAGTAAACATAACATAAAAATAAAAATAAAAGCCAAAATGGTGTGGTTAATGGTGTCACATTTAGTTTCCAAACGTCATGGAAGGAGTATTTGTGAAGGTTGACCCTAGCTTTGGTTTAAATCCTCGTCCACAAGAAATTTTTCATTGTGATCGGAATATAAATGGTACACCTCTTGTTTTTATATAAGTAGTGATAAATTTTATTTTTTTAAGTTATTAACTTTTTAATACACATATCCTACGTACCATCCCGTATTTCGATCATACTAAAAAATCTCACATTGTCCACGACTCAAAGTATGTATCCACTCTTTAGCGTCACCGCGCTATTTTTTTTTTTTTGATAAACAATTAAACTCTGTAGCCATTTGGTCCGTACAAGTATATTTTACACATATATGTATATTAAACTTAATGTTTTCTTTTCAAATATACGTTGTCGTATAACCCAATTCAAATCACTCGGGCAAGAATGAAGTTGTTTTCTTTGTTTGGGAAGCACTTTGAGTTTTAACGAAAATAACAAGAACTAATAATTCAAATTTCGCATGCATTGGTTAGCTGAAAAAAGAAAAGAAGGAAAATTAATAAAAATGACATAAAAACTTCGAGTTTTAATGAAAATGACAAAAATGTGTTATAAATGAATAGTACCAGAATTGATTTTTTAAATTAAAAATATGATTTTTTGTTAAAGTAAATAGTATCAGATACTTTTCGTTAAATTTAAAAAAAAAAAAAAAATCCTGAAGCTAAGCGTGTTATATGATTTGACTCTCATATCCAAAATTTGCCCAACTATTCAACACTCATGCTGCCGTACGTACTACTGGTTTTGCATGTCCAACTTAGACAGTCAGCCATTGGGACAGTGGAAAGTAGGTTTACATATGTTTTGATTCTACAAAAGTTTGTCTACTTGGGTACAGGATTACAAAGAAGATCCGTGCCTAATTTTAACTCGTAGACAAATCGTAATGGAGAAACAATAGTAAGAAAGAAAAATTTTAAACTATATAGAAGACTAACTATAAATATATATATCTTACTGAAGCAAAATTATTTGTTGTTAAATTTGACTCTCAGTAGATATTCGAGAGATAAGTGAAGAATTTGCTGACAGCTGAAACGTGTGTCAGAATTTCATTATTATTTTCACATTTTTATATAATAAAGGATAAACACTTCATTTATCATTTTTTTCTCAAAAAAATTTGGAAAATAAAGTGTTCGGGTTATATTGGACATCTGTAATTTTTCTCTACAAATCAGGAATGCAGCTGAGGTGTTTACACTTACACGTACAAAACTATATATATATATATATATATATATAAAATAAAGGGTGAACTGCCGATTTACTTTTTAAATGATTGACTGAGTGAAAATTAGGTCCCTAAATTATTTATACGAAAAATTTAATCCTTACACTAAGCTATTCTATTTAATTTTTCGTTAATTTAAGTCACATGACTAGCATGTGTTACATTTTGAAGAGTCGATTGGTAGTTTTACATGAGTCCAAGGACTTTGTTTTCTCAAAGATATTGTGTATGAAGTTAACTTTTGAGAGTAAATTAGGCGTTAGTGGCGTATAAGCAAGAAAATGAGGGTATTACCCTCTAGAATGTATCATGTGGGTTAAGTTGATGAAAAATTGGATAAAATAATTTTGAATAAGATAGTAGGGATGAAATTAGCAATTTTATTGAATTTAGTGACTTATTTTACAAAAATAATAATAATTTAGGAGCCTAATTTTCACTCAAGTGATAATACATGCACTAAATCAGGAGTCTACCCCATAATAAAAATAGTTGCAGAAAAACTAAACCTAATGGTAGACAGGGAAATAAACACTTTTTCATATGATTATTTAGCACATTAAAACAGATTAGTTATACATAAACTTTATAACTAGAAAAAAATTAATAATAGTGGGAGATGTCGAGCTTTGTAGTGGGCTTGTAACTAAGCAGGGTTCTAAAGTGATTGGTTGTATGGAAAATTAAATCAAGAGCATGA